GTTAACAACAATAATAACAATAAACTACAACAACAATAATAATAATAGTAGTACTATTAATAATAATAATTTATTAGAAAATATCTCAATAAAAAACAGTTAAATTATTATTACAATAATCATAATACATATTTTGTGAATACCACGTGTAACTGCTATATTTTTAATGAGATATTTTGTAACAGAGTAAAAACTAGTTTTAACTGCAACACTTGATGTGTATTCTGATTTCATTGCACTGTCCCTTTTTCCTTGGTTTGTGCTTCTCTTCTATAGGATATGGTGTGTGAGATGAAGTAACATCTCCTCCAATCACTTTTTCTCTTACACGGTACAAATTAGAACAATAGTCATATGAGGATACTGAGTGTAGAAAGGAATAGAACTTACAATGTACTCTCTGACATTGCATTCAGCGAACCATCAATGATACAATGTCACTGGAAGCACGTAGAGGGGTATATAATACGCTAACAAGCAATATCTGTTTGGCTGTCACCCACAATAACCAATCAGAAATCACCTTTGGTTCTAAATTGATGAAGTGTAAAATCTTCTTGATGTTGGTTACTGAATTGGTATTGTGTTCATATGTCTATGCGCTTCCTTTATAAATACTTCTACTAAACCTCATTTTTAATGTCACCTATGATTTAAGGTGTATCTGAACCCAAACACCTAAACCAAATATGTTGTTGCACATGTTCATGTAATGTCAAAAAGTTCCATCCTTTGTTTTTACATATGCTGCTTTCAAATAAATCACACCAGCTTTGGAGGCATCAAAAGGCACCTCCTTCCCTAGCGTGACAACGCTTACTGAGTTCAGCAGCAGCGTTGTCACCCTTTCCTGCACACCTCTGAGCTGGGCTACAAGCACCCGTTTCAGCATTCAGTGAGCAGGCTCATTCTGCCGGAGTCTGTAAAGCAAAGCTGACATTTGAAGGAAGTTCCTACACATTTAGGGTCTATTCACAAAGCTGCCGAAGGATCTAGCGGTAGCTTCGGCTGATCCTTCAGCTAGCTTCGGCCCCAGGACCCCTTCGGTTCAGCTCCCGAAGTTGGCCGAGCGGCTCAGTCGAGCCGAAGGCATATGCCTCGGTTAGTTTGATAGTTACATATGGATTGTGTCCAGCATCCCATCCAGGAGAGAAGTGTGGAGATGTTGGGAGTTTTTCTCTCATTGTTTCTGATTTGTATCTATCTATGAGATCTTCAGATAGAATATCTATGGATACAGAGCACAACCATAGCTTATGTTTTATGTAAATCACGACCTTTGTACATAACTGATGTAACTGACGCTTGTTGTCGGTAGATCAGGTCGTTCTCATTGTAAACATTTGAAGTGGTCTTTGTCTCATATGCAGTAATGTGGTTTTGATGCACGTCACTCCATGCGTTTATGAGTTTTTCGGCACTGCATCCAGTGAGCCTCCACTCCTTATTTAATATTTAGCTCAGCACTGTACAAAATAAAAATAAAAAGCCACTTTTGCTGTGATACACAAGGCTGGAGTTCTGCTTTCAGCTCATTTATGTACAATTTGTAAGCACATTTTTGTGCAAACAAAAAGAAACTGGAACTTTCAATGCTTCAAATATAGATATCGTTTTATTTTGATGTTCTTTTATCTGTACCTCGGCCAGGACTTTGTACATTATAAGAGACGTTTGCCCATTGCAACCCTCTTGTAAAGACTTGTTAAACTTTCTGATTTTTCTATCACAACCTCCTGATTTTTGTCCTGTCTCAGTCCTAGAATGCTGAGCATTGTATAATGATAGCCCAATGTACTGAGGATTGTCAGCTGATTCCAACATACTAGGGACATGTTCCTTCTATTCATATAGTAACGGGG